AGATTTGTCATTTGGGCCTTGAGTAACTCTTACAAAGTAAATGGTGCAACCAAGCAGTGTTGCTGGGTGGATGGGATTTGAAGAGCTAGGATCAAGGTACAGTGAATCATCCTGAGGACCATTTCTCAGAAACAGCACTGGCCTACTCCTCCACTGACAGAAGAAAAGCCTCATGGCACCCTATAGTAATTTCCTTGGATTTACTGTTTTCAGACTCCTTTTATGAAGCTAAGATGTCATTAGGTAGATTAAAAATTATAAACAAAAACAAACTGATGACATACTTGGAAGGCACATGGGATTAGAGGGGTTTTGTACCTAATACAGTAATCCTCTTTTGGAAGTATATGTTAGAGCCTTAGCAGTAAGTTAATGTTTGTTTCTTTGTTAAGAGTAAGATGATCTACAGTTTGTTTCTTGGCAATGTCAGTGCTGGCTAATCTGTTAGCTAGGGTAAGTGATGCTTATGTCCTATATCGATGAGAAATGAAACAAGCTCAGAAAAACAATGATAGAGCGAGTCCCAGAACATCTGTGTATGCTCCAGAGACTGGCCAGTTTTTTAAGACTTTTGTCCTTCTTCATCTTCCGCTCATATCTTTGTTGTTTGAGGTTTTTTGTCTGATTTTTTTCTTTTTTTAAACATTTCAGCACTATTGCCCAAGCAGGAAGCTTCTGCTTTGTAATTCCACAGTCTTCACTGTGCTTCGTGTGTGTCAGCCCCATCAGCATGGTTCCCATTTCTGAGACACACATTAAAAAATACTGTTTCCTCTTTCTTACAGCTCCATAACAAGTTCCCTTTCTTTTGATGCTGTGGTTTGGATTTGTCTTTCAAGGGGCGATGCTGTTGCTATCTCTCTTCCCTCCCACAGAGGTAGTGGGCAGCTCTCTGTCAGCAGGGAGCTCTCTCAGGCAAACATGCTAATATTTTTCTAGCTTGGTTTCCTTTAAAATGGCACCAAAGTGGCTTCTTAGAGGAGTAGCGTTACAGATACTTTGCAGTGCTATGTCATAGAATCAAAGAATAGTTAGGGTTGGAAAAGACCTTAAGATCATCTAGTTCCAACACCCCTGACATGGGCAGGGACACCTCACACTAAACCATGCCACCCAAGACTCTGTCCAGCCCAGCCTTGAACACCGCCAGGGATGGAGCATTCGCAACTTCCCTGGACAACCCATTACAGTGCCTCACCACCCTTACAGTAAAGAACTTCCTCCTTATATCCAGTCTAAACTTCACAGAATCACAGAATAGTTAGGGTTGGAAAAGGACCTTAAGATCATCTAGTTCCATCTATGTCCCTTGGGAGCTTGAAACACTGGGGCCCGGTCTGCCTAAACTGTGAAAATAAAGCTTCAGATTAGCAGCCAGAGCTGCAGGTGCCCATTTAACAGAGGAAAAGTAATAATTCTCTGTCTGCTGAGGGCAACAGGTCCTCCTCTTATTTCTAACCTGAGGTAGGGGGTGGTTGAGTCATTTCTGTGAGTTCATCTGGCAAGGGTGACATCAGAACTGGGACTTTAATCCAGGTTTTATCCAGAACCTAGTTATGCTATGTTATGCTGTGTTCATAAAAGCCCTTGAGTTTTATAGTATAAGGAGAAAAGGGAGCAGAATTAATTAGTAGGCTTTTCAAATTCTTCTTGAGTCTAAGCAGGAGTAGCTTTCTGAAATGGCCTGGGAGTAGCTACACTGTTTAATCTCGGCAGCATTTTTCCTTCAGTTTTAGATCCTGAAATCATTAATTTAAGTGCAGAAGATCATAAAATCTCTCTCCCGGGCTCAGCATTCTGTATCTTACGTTCATTTCAGAGGCTTTTATAGAGTTTTACTTTTTATGGATCTTTCCACTTTAACCAGAGCATTTAAGGAATTTATTCAAACGGCTTGTAGTTGTGTATGTAGACATGTATGTCTTTGTATAGGTGTGTATATATATATGCATGTGTGTGTAATATTTTGGCATATTATTCCCTCAATAGCATGGCTCAACAAACAGCTTTATTACAATAACAAAACAGGAGTCTGTAGTCCCATAGGCATCTTTAGAAGCAAAAAGTTATGAGGCTCCTAAACCCAACCAAATGGGACCTGTTATTGTTTGAAATACTGGCTGTTCTGTGCAGTAATAAATATTAAAAAAAAAAAAAAAAAAGTTGTTCCAGAATTTTCTCAAGTATTTACTTTCTTGGACCCTTGATAATGTTAGCATAGGTATTTTGACAAAATTCATGCAGTGGAAAGCTCTTCTGGCCAGGTAGGCCTGCACAGCACTGCATCCCCAGAAGAAGCACAGAGCCAGACAGAGCTGGCAGCAGTATTTGTTCAAGGGTGCCCAGAGGTCAAGGACAATGTCTGCTGTTAAATCACTAGGCACAGGATCAGTTTTAGGGCTTCCTCTTCAATTGCTCTGCAAATCTGCTTCAGGTTGGACCTGGAGTTATTAAATGAGGGGGTGGTCTCCTCAACATCCCCATGCTAACAGTGTCTGCTGTGACTGCAGGAAAGGTTTTTAAGGGAAGGCTGGTTTTCAGTGCCTACAGCATTTTTACCATGAGCCGATGTCTGTGTTTACAGAGTGGAATGCCAGGTGAATTGAGTGCACAGGGCAGCCTCAGCAGCAGTCTGAATGAGAGAGTGGTTTCAGACCTACTGTGGCACTTTTGCAGGAGGGAAAGAAGGCTTGCCCACAATTGTGGAAAGCCCTTGGTTGAAATAGGGAATGGGACCCATTAATGGGCTGGGTTGCAGCAAGAGAAATCTTTGTTTCCATCCTAAAAGTTGTTCATTCATCCCTAGGGACGCCATGCCCATCCCAGGCACCATACTCCCTACTCACATCCTCAACTCAGGGCACGTTCTTCCTTCACAGAGCCTATTTTCACCTTCCTCATTCTCTAAACAGGCTTTACCTTGTCTTTTCAGAAGTACAGCACTGCCTCCCAGGCAGAACTACCATAGGCTATCTGTATGGAATGGGATCTGGCCTTGCACTATGCTGATAGAGGCATGTGCAGCACAAAGGTGCAGGGCAATCAGAATGACACCGAATAGACTTCCCATCACACAGTCATTCTGTGGTTTGTTTTGGGTCTTTTTTTAAGAGGTTTCATGGCAGCTTGTCTTACTTTGCAAATGTATGCACAGATCTTGATTGTTTGGGTCAGCTTGACTACAATTTGTACATCAATTAGTACCCATTCAGTTGTCAGCAGCAGTTGAATGAGAAGGGCAGCAGGTTCCTCCATTCTAGGAGTGTGCAGGGCACTGTGGAGCTCTTGTTTGTGGCCAAGACCATGGCTGGACTTCTGGTTGTTAGCACTTAAGGTGCCAGTTCCTGTGCTAAGTAAAATAATGCACTCGCTATTTGTAAAGCTAGGGAAATAGGAGTTGCTAGTATTGTATGTTGTTGTTTTCTTCTCTGAGCTCAAAGGGACAGAAATCTTATTGTGCTGACCTATCTCCAGCTGGGACACTGATGGACAAATTCTGTGATGTGAGCACATTCTAAAGGTTTATGACAAATAGATAACTACAGAATTATACTTTTTATTTTTTAGGTATTCCCTGCACTAAGTACTGGGGAATGTTGCAGTTATTGTGAAAGCATTGTCTGAGGGGAGCACAGCAACATTTTAAAGCACAAACATGTGCCTACTACTGTCAGATGGAATTTCTCAGTCACATAAAATAGCCTGTTAGTGTAAACATGCAGATGAACTAGAAATTGCCTTTTTTGATCAGTGGTTTGCTAGTGAGTTGTTAATTACCTGGAGCTGAAAGGAAGATGTTCAAAAGGGCAGCTGTGAAATGATGGAATGGTTGTTTTGTAATCCTGCGTATTGTGTATTGCTGTACAGTATGAAAGTGTCATACATTCATTCAACTGGACAGAAGGAAAGGACAATTGCAGTTTGGCGTTGAAAAGAAAAATATAGTAGTAACCTGCCTGATTGTCTTTCTGTGTAAGCTGTAAGATATGTCCAGAAACTACTAGGATGTTTTCATTTGTATTTAACTCAGATTTGTATCTCTTTAATGTGAACTTTTATTCACTTTATAGTTTAACCTTGTAGGGACCTTGTATCCTTTTGCTGTCATCTAGTTTTCATGTACTTGTTTCCCACTCAGCTTGCCACGCAGCACTTTGGTAACGATTGCCTTATACTGCAGTTTTCCTCCTACTTAGGTGGAGGTCCCTACCGTTTCTGCATCACTGCTATTCTTATTCCACAGTTGGGAATAAGAGAAACCCCAGAAATTAGAGATGGTGAGCCTGTGTACTGACTCCAAAAACCTGCTTGCTTGTCCTGAATCAGACTGTACTGTCACTGGAAGTAATTCTGTTTGGATATGCTTAATTTCAGCCTGCATTTCACAGGGACATGCACATTTCTCATGAAATGAATAAAAGCCCCTAACATTAGTCATCCTGATCTGTAAATCATTTGCCACTAATATTCAGCCTACCTATTCCCTAGCAACAGAAAAGGGAATCCCAAAGAAGGCACAGTATGACACATGCATCAGTCTCAGGTGGGCTCCTGTCTTTATTTCTATCCATCTCTCTCAACAGTATTACATCCAGCTATGTTTCCTCTTCAGAGGTAGAAAAGGACTGGATGCAGTTCATTCTGATAGCTGGTCATATTTGGCAGCATACTGTGTACAGAGCTGAGTGCTAGAATATGCCTGTTGACTTTCTCCCCATCTCGTTTACACAGGTCTGTGCAGTGGTCAGTCCCTGCCAAGGTGAGGGCACCAAATTTCAGAGCCTAACCAAGGTTTACTGCCACTGTCTTGTCAGACTAGCTGCAGGCAATGAACTTGTAGGGAGAAAAGCCCTCTGGCAAGCCATGCATGTTAGGTGTACCCAAGTGGTAAGTCAGTGAGTTGGAGGTTGCATGGGTGGACTGTGACAGAAGAAAATGTCCTTATCGGTGGTTTGTCACTCACACTAACCATTGTCTCTCTGTTCTCTTATCTTCCACAGGAACGAGTGGAGTATCTCTTTCTCATAATTTTTACAGTGGAAGCATTTTTAAAAGTAATAGCATACGGACTTCTCTTTCACCCCAACGCTTACCTCCGCAATGGCTGGAATTTACTAGATTTTATAATTGTGGTAGTAGGGTGAGTACCGACATTTTTGTCACTGAATGCACTGACACATGCGGATACTGTCAACCTTTGGGAGCATGAGGGCAGGTGAATGTTTGGCACACTATGTATGGGTTGGAGGTTGCTGCTGTACATTATGTTCCTCCTATCACTGCCATTTTAATGGTTTGCAAGACATGGAAATTAAATTGCTTTTTGGGAACAGGGATAAAAAGAGGAAGCAGTGCAAGGCTGTCCAACTGGAAGAAACTCCCTCTGTCTGTAAACCTGTATGAGTATTTAAAAATAACATCTAGGTTGGATTCGTTAAGATTAGAGTTGGATACCAAAGGAATTCTGCCATCATGTCAACTTTTACTGATGTTTCTTGTTCTCTTACAAACAAAAATAAGTTCTTCAGCTCAAGATGTTCTGCTGGTGATTTCAACACTTTGATTTTGACCCTTTTAATGTTTTAACGTTTTAAAAGTCTAATTTTACTAACTGCCACTTTGAGCTGCAACTTTTCCAATCCCCTTATATTTCTCTACATGTTTGTCAAGCTTGGCATTTAATTTATTTGAATAAAAGCAAACACCTTCTTTTTCTACCTAAAGGTAGGAGATAAGCAGGGGATTTGAATTGTGGCTGTTGAAGGGAAGAGGTGAAGGATAAACTACCCCTGAAGACAAAGAGAACGAGTATATCTTTGCCTGAGTAATTTGTCCCATCCTCCCACCACTCCATTGTTAAAGAATTTCATCGCCCACAAAACCTTGAATTTTTTTCACCTCTTTACCAAGGAAACCCTGCATCAGCTCCTAGGGAAAACGTCAAAAGGGACACTTTCAGTCATCAAAGCCCCCTCGTAATTCCTGCCCTGGACCAAAGTCCGTCTAGCTTCTTAACCAATTTTGTGGTGAACCCCCAAAATTACGTCAGCAAACTGATGTGCACTACCCAATCCCTCCCACTTTCTATCATTACAGGGAAAAGTGGGTGGAAAGAGAATTCCCAGTGAGGGGGAGGGAGACAAGCTGGAACCTATTCTTAGTCTCAAGACCTCTCTGCCTCCACATGGGCATAACGCTTCTCCTTAGGGCAGGGCTCCTTTGTTCCTATCCGCAGCCAGAGGATCCCACAGCAAATTAGTAATTGGAAATTGGAAGATCCCCTGCCATTGATGTCCAATTCCATAGCTGATTCTGCCTTTGAATGCCCTCAGATATATCACCTGCTTGGGAATTGCTGCTTGCATTTAAGAAAGATTGGAGAGCAAAAGTCCTGTGAATGTGATTATTCTCTTTTAATTTTTATGAGAGACTTTTTAAAGAGAGGACACATTACCTCTTCTTCCATTGGAATGTAAAAGAGTAGGGCTCCAGAAATCATAGGGCAGCATTATATCTAGTTTAAGTATAGTCCTTTTCAATTTTCCTACCAGGGCGGTTAATCAGCCAGATGATATTCAGACTGAAATTAATTCCCTTGCCAATGACAGAAGCTGCAGCTCTCAGCTCTTCTATCTGCTCTTGCCTCCAGCAGCTCTCAGTCACTAGATGGGGAACAAAAAATGTAACTCAGGAGGGATTACACGAGTATAATAAACATGGCCAAGACCCCAAGGTCTCTGTTAAATAGTAACAGTCTCAAGTGACAGATTCCACTTGAAGGCCAGATGGGTTCCTTTGATGTTTATCTGTTTAAACTCACTTGTACAGTACCACAGCCTAGGCTGGTGTGCTGCTTTTTCTCTCCACAACCCCTCTGCAAAATCTATGTGGTGATACCATCTGTTCCTGTTCTGCCCTGTCTTCTTTTCCATGGGGCTGTCTGAAATCCCCTAATGACATTATGTTTAAATTTCAATGTATTTGAATATTTTTCCAGGGAGGAAGTCCCATAGAAAAGGTTTAAAATGAATTTTAAAGAGAGAGAAAGGGAGGAGCAACAAAGCAAGTGCTGGTAACATTTCCATATGGTGTCTTTTTCTGCCCATTGATGGAGCTGTTTGAGAAAGCTGAGTAATTTAGACACTGCTGTAGCACTGGGTAGAGGGGTTTCTTTGGTATGTGGGGCAAAGGATGGTGTGGGACTCATACTGGAAGCCTCAAGTCCCGAAACAGCCATAGTAATTGCCATTTGTGCTTGTTCTGCCTTAGGAATCATCTTCATTTTCAATGACTGTCCTTGCTACAGAAAAATTGGAAAGGCAAGGTGGGAAGTAATTCTTCAAGTTGGAAGTTAAAGAAGCAATAAAAGACACGTCCTTTGTTTGTCCTAGGTCCTTTGTTTATCTCTAAACCCATCTAGTACACACTGATTACCAGACATATCGTGAAGAGATAATACATCACAGCTGGCTTCCTTTATGTTAAAGTACGCAAGTCAATAGTGTAAGAGGATAATGGACATGTGTAAGACCAAGCATAAATTCTAGAGGGAAGTCTTGGTTTCCATAAAAAAATTTTATGACAGCGTGCCTCTATACTTACTTTCCCCTGCCTTCTGAAGATAGGTTTCTTGGTATCCAAAGGGATTTTATCATCAGTGGTTCTAGCAAAGCCTCAGGAATACACAGCAGCAGCAGAGGGAAGCACTGAACACAACTGCTACGTTTTCTGGAGAAAGGATGCCCTTTAGACATGTAAGCTTGTAACAGCTTATCATTCTTGCAGTGTGGGAGATCTGCTTATTCATCAGCGAAGTTGTGTAAAGCTTGATTCTAGCTTATCTTTAAATAGCCTATGACACTGCTATAGCAGCACCATTAAACGTTGCTTTGAAGAAAAATGTCTGTGTGAGGGTATCAATCAGAGGCTTTGTGGATAAGAACATTATTAGTTAGGAGCAGAGATCACACCCCTAAGCTGCCTAATGAGGCACAACCCACAAACACTAATGGTTAGTCAAATTGTTTCCTGCTTCCTCCAGTTTTACTGTTCCTCTTTTGGAAATCATTAAAACTTTCAGATATAACAGTGATGTCCTTGAGTATTAGGCTGTGTGATGGAATTTCTCTTGAGAGAAGCCTAACCTGACAATGTTGTGCTAGAAGAATATCTGTCTTTCCTGGCACTACTGTGGTTTGTCTGCCAAGCACAATCATTCTGCAAGGACCCTCCAAGCTTCTGCCAGAAAAACAGGCATCGAAATTTGAAAGGAAGTCTTAAAGAGGGATGATAAGTAATGAAGGTATTTGGAAAAGATCTGAAATTCAGAACAGACTGGAAGATGTGGTCATGGTATATGTCTTTCTATGAGGAGTTTCTAAAGGGCAAACCTAAACATTTTCACACTCAAATTGCAGGTGAACTGTAAATACTGTGAGGGGAAGAAACACCCACCTTTTTTATGACTATTTCATTATACCTATGAGGATTCTTTCAGCTGTGTTTTTCTGCTGTTTTTTTTGTCTTAGAAATACGAGTCTCTCTGTTTTCTTTCTGTATTCTGGAGGCCCTTGACAAGTTCTTTTATGTTATAAAAATCAGTGTGCCCTGCCCACAGATGAAGAGATGAAGAGGAGCTTACAGCCTTATCATGCTGCTGCTGGGGTCACCTAGCAAAGCAAAAACTTTCAAATGTCAAAAGAGAAACAGAAAAATAGCAGCAAGAAAAACAGTGAAACTTGCTTTATACTTCACAAGTAAATGAGAAAGGAAAAAAAAAAGGTGGAGTGTGTCCATACATGCACATGTGTGAAAGAAATTTAATTTTTTCTTTATGGTTCATGTCTGGCAGATGAATTTAATTTAGGAGTAGTCATGTCACAAGTGAAGTTCAGAAATCAAGACGCTGTTAATTGTGCTTCATCACTGGAAAGTCCTATGTCAAATGAAAATAGGGCATGAATTTAGGCTGGCAGAAAGTAGTTAAGTGGAAGGAAATAGGATTGATTTCTGTATTCCTTTTTTTTTTTTAATAACAGCAAGATTTTCAGTGGCCACAAGAAATTACCTCTCTTGCATTTTTATATTGTCCAAACTTTGGTTTGTCTGTCAGCACAGTGTTCTCTCACACTGTGCTTGGAACATGCCTTTCGGCTAACTCACCTACTGAGCAGAAAATGAAAGAACCACACCTCACTCCACCACGCCTACTGAAACTTTTTCCCAGAGGTTTTCATCAAGGAGGAGGTTTTACCATGTAAATATAGGGTTGAAAGACTCTGAACTCATGTTTTATATTAGTAGATTAATATCCCTTCAGCTCTTTTAGGTTTGGAAAAAAAGTTTGATGAAAAACTTGAGTCTATAAAGCTCATAGAAATAACAAATTGTACATGGGTTGTGGAGTTTTTTCCTAATAGAAGATAATGGAAGGGGGGACCATCAGAAGCTTTACCTTTATTCTGTGTGTTATCATTGGTGCTATTTCTGAACAGGTTTTAACTCATCCCCTGGATCATTATGAGTTACAGCAAAAAAGTATGTGATAGCTGTAGCCTGTGAGTCATTGATGTCAGCCCATGGTCTAACTCAGGAGGTGGTAGGAACAATGAAGTAGGATTGGCAAGGTGTACTATAAATTTGAGGAGTGGAGTAGTGATTCAGTAGGACAGACTGAGAACAGTATAGACCCCAGTACAAAAGGGAGAGAGAGTAAAATAAGTTAGAGAAATAAAAAGTTATATTGCATTAGTAAAAAGCAGGATTAGTACAAGCCTGGAGTAAATGTATTAAAGGCGGATTAGCCGCAGTAATACAATTCAAGTTTAAATGTAGGTTTTTAAATGAGAAGCAGCAGGAATTACTGTGAATTATTCCTGAAGTACAGTAGTCAAATGACTGTGGGTACCTCAAGACAGCACATGTAGCATACAGTCAGTGCTGGAGGACACAAACAGGGGCAGCTGGCCTGCAGGGGAGCTGCATTAATCTGGGAAGGCAGGTTCCAGCTCCAGTGGACTGAGCTGTCCTACTGGTTGTATTTCTGCTTCTGAAATAATTTAGGACATGTATAGCTTTTCTTAGGATGTAGAATTCTAGGGCAGCCCATGGTTTGCTCATTGAATGAGTGACAGGGGAAATGCCCTTGGTGCCAGCTGTCAAGAGCCAGTGTTTGGCCAGACATGGGGCCAGTGATAGTGGAGACCAGGATAATGAACCCTCAGACTTGCACAACTGCTGACTCAGAGCTCCTTGAGATTTCTTGTCTTCAGCATTGCAACAGAGCTGAAAAACAGCATAAGAAAGCTTTTGCAGTGAATTCTTTTGCCTCCAGAGGATCCCAGGAGACTAGGACTGTTGTATAGGTATGTCACTCATCATCTAGCATGGGAATTCTGTTGACTAGAAAGATATAAATGTTTGAATAAGAAATAGAGCACATTTCTAGAGCTTAATCACTAGCTTTCTGAAAATACATTAGGCCAAATTTGACCTACAGCGTTTCTATTATGAAGACCAGCAGAAAATTGCAACTGTATAATTTGTGTACACAGCTCAAGAAATACATACATTCAAATAATTTATGTTCTTTTCATCAGCCCTTGTTTATCTCTAGCTGTGATATCTGTAGTCAACGCAGTATTTCTCATAGGCTCTGTTTTTGTCTTCTCTGCATCCTGCTTCTCAGTCTGCAACACCTACAAGCTCAGCATCCAACCTCCCCACACACAGTTTTTCCCACGCTTGTTACCTAGTTGTTAAATCTTTCTGTAGTGCTTGAAGTTGAGGCTTTGAATAGATCCAGTTAGGAGTTCCTCAGTCACAGCTGACAAGTTTTATAAGACTCTTTGTATGAAATTAAAAAAAAAAAACACCAACTCCTTAAGAAACTGATTTTGCATTTGCACTGCCCTAATCCACATTTTTGTGTGGATTTAGTGCTGGGGAAAAGTGTTGGCTTAGATGCTTCCATAGAGGAATCCTCCTTTTTCTATCCATGGCAATCTCCCTATGTTTGTGTCCAGCCCTACTGGTAACTTTTAACTGGAGACAGAAGGCACACTGGAGCTCCTTGCGAAGCAGTCAGGTGGCTCAGCCCCTGCTTGCAGTTTGGGGGCTCCATCTGCTATATGCCAGTCAGGGTTTACAGCCGAGATCCTGACAGAGGCACTGCAGACTGCAAAGTCTGAGAGAGAAACCAGCCAGGGCTGAATCGAGGCCACCCTACCCAGGCTGTTTCTGGCATCCTAGACAGCTTCTTTCAGGTTACCTGTGGTATCTCCATGGCACGCTATGGGCAAAGGGGCCTCTGCCACTCCCAAGCAGAGTGGAAAAAAGCATTTTTTACTGGAACAGCTTTTAACCTCTACTGAATTTGGCTGCATTCATGTTGATTACTTCAAGGCTGAAAGCAATGTCATTAGCAAATTCATGAGGAATCCCTCCTCCCCCAAAGGTACTAATGTTTTACCAGAAAAATGGAAACTGCTTCCTGAAAGCTAATATATTATATCAAATCCTTATTAACATACAGGGTGAGCTTCAGCTCTTTAACAGAAGAACATACTCTTTTCTGCTTTGCACTGCCTTTTCAAATGTGCTCTGAGTGAGACATCTTCTCCTTAAAGCAGCTACTCCTACTAGCCGAGATTAAACATTGAGTGGTGTAATAAAATATTCTAATAATAAGACTCCTACAGTTTGGCACTTTCTCTGGCCAGTGCATCAAGGGATTTACAAATGGATACACAAGCACAAAATATGAGCATACTCATTTATTTGCACTTTGAAGGATCCCTGAGATTTACACAATGTTCTACCTGCAGTGACCTTGGTGAATCTTAAATCCTTGTGAAATGAGTGACAGGCAACTAACGATTGGATTAAATATGGAGATTTTTTTTTCCTCAGAGGGGATTGCTGGTTAATAAAGTTGTACTTTCTTACCTATCTGCTCAACTCCCACTGATTATGTCCAGACCGATAAGGACAGCATGGAGCTTGCCTTCAAAATCTGACTCCTGTGCCCTACTTTTGGGGACCCTTTAAATTCAGCACAAGGCATTGCCAGAGTGGTCATTTTGAAGTACCCGACATGCCCCAGCACCCAGGGTAGGGAGTGCACCTCCATGTGCCACCAGGCAGGCTGATTGCTGTGGTAGTCTATAGCAGGCTGCGAGGATCCATTAGGCTGAAGGAGGTTCACGTCATGTTTACGTCTGCTCCAGAAACAAGTGTTTTGTAAGTGGTATAGACTTTACCATTAGGCTACTGCAGATGGGAAGAGTCTGTCTCTCCTCCACCATATGTGAATGTCGACTGAGATGCGTGACACTCTTCACAGGTCTGTGCAATAGTTTGGGTGATATGATGATGATGATCTCTGTTCCTGTTTAGCCCAAGCCTTGCTGTCTGCCTACAGATTGTTTCCTCTTTCTTTTTGCAGGCTTTTTAGTGCAATTTTAGAACAAGCAACCAAAGCAGATGGAGGGAATTCAATAGGAGGAAAAGGTGCCGGATTCGATGTTAAAGCACTGCGGGCTTTCCGAGTATTACGTCCGTTACGGCTGGTGTCTGGAGTTCCTAGTGAGTAACATCATTAGTTTTCTTTTATGTATGTGTGTGTTGTGGCATGGGGCAGGAGTAGTTTGTGTAACAATTTTGAAGGTGGAGCTTGCTGCAGATTATTTTTTGGTGTGTGTGGAGACCTTTTTTCAAATTAATGTGCTCATAATAAATGTGATATTAATCCAGTGACCAAACAAGAGCTGAATGGGAATGGAAATTTCATGGTATGTCAATCTGATTGTGCAACTTTTTTAAACAATGAAAGTGGGAGATCCAAGATTTTCATGATTACAAGCAAAGATCCTTTAAATAACTGTGAAGTCACAGTACATTTTTGGCATTATAAATACTTGACCTAGATGGAAATGCTGTATGGCCATTTGTTTTGGGTTTGGAGGGAGAAGAGCTTTTTCATTAAAACTGCATTTTCTTCTTTGCATGTGATGTTCTGATGAGGAGCACTGGGAACAATTTAGAACCAACAGGACATAGGGCAATGGCACAGTCATGTTCTCTGTTAGTCTCATTTGCTTAAATTATTTGTAATGCCTCTGAGAAAGTCCTCAAGCAGCTTTTTATAGTCCAACATCCATTTTCTTATTTATAATGAAGATAAGAGTAACTGGAAGTCTGGTAATTCTGTTGTGGAGGTGGAACATGAACTTCATAATGTGATAGGATTTTATCATTTTGCTTGAGAGCTTGTTATAGATGGGACCCACTGGCCTTTTGAAGAGAGGGTTAGTTGAAAGCTGTCATTGATTTCCATGTTTATAGCAATGAGAGATGTGGTTAGCAGGAAAGGAGTTAATCTTTTCCAGAATAGCTGTGGAGAGAGCTTTGTTTATTTGAGGAGTTTGCTTGTTTGATATCTTCAAGTACCTCTAACCTTAGTCATTTGAAAACCTTGAGTCAAGTTACCATAAACTCTGTGAGATCAGTTTAAAAATCATGATTTATTTATTAGGTAAAAGAAGTGTGAGGTTCTTTTTCTTTTGCTTGTTTTCTGACCCACTAGGTTATATTACAGCCATGTTTGCAGGCTCTTCTCTACACCCGTAAAGGGTCGAAACTTTTTAAGTGAAAGGTGAGAATCTCTGCAGGAGGAGGTGAAGCACTGATAGAAGCAAAAAATACTGAGTTAATTGACAGCATTATTATTTGGTCTCACAAAGCGCCATGCTTGGTAACTGGTCTGCAAGGCCTCAGCTTGTGCCCAACTTGGGGTTACTTTGGACATCAGTGAGTGAGTAGAAAATATTGAACAGTAAATGCTGTCTATTAAGCAGCTGAGGACATTTCCCTCTGATACAGAGCTAACACCCAGTATTCATGCCACCTCTGTTAGGTGTTACTGCAGTGGGTTGTTTCATGTAGATAATTACATGTGTATCATGTAATACCTTCAATCTATGCAGGAGGTAGCTCTGCTTTTGGCCAGAATTGTCTCACGACAATTTTGGCTTTCTTCGTATTTTATCTATGGTCTTCAGCCTACAGTGGCATCCACTTAAGGTTTTGTTGCTCATTCCTAGTCCTTCTCTAAATCTTTTGACACTTCATAGTTACATGCCCACTCTATGGTAAGGGAATGGTACTCAAATTTAAACATCTATGAGCTCAAGGGTCTGTGAGATGCTGCCTATGCTGGGACACGCTCTTGGAGTTGTTCTGACATAGGCTGAGCTTAACTGTGCTTATAATTCTTGCTGTTTTGGAGAACAACATGTGTTGCCTAAGTGAAATGAGGTTTGTTAATACTGTTCAAGTCTCTTGACTAGTGCTCTTAGAGGACTAGAGGAGGCTGAGGAAGCCAAATCTGACACGGTTCATAATTTTATATGCATACATGATTTTGATCCCAGCATTGACTATCTAATAGTACACTTGTGGGGGGTTTTCATCAAGAGAAGTATTTAATTTGAACCAGAACAGATCCAGGGAGTCTGGTACATGCTAAAACATATTCAGTCTAGACAATGAAATGCCAGTCCAGTGCAAAGTAGGTGAACCATCAACTTTATCTGACAGACACCCTCTATTAGTCTTTATGGCTCTGACTAAGGACGTATTTATTCAACCAGGTTTCTTTGGGGCTCATATGGCTTTTAGAAAGCCTGCTGAGGTCTGGAACTAATACAGCCTCAATCTTCACTGGGCATTTATTAATTGTACAAATGCCTGTTGATTAGCCTAGATAGATATTATCACATCCATATGTATTAGAGTGTAACTTTTCTCATGAGGCCTTTTAGATAAGATTGCCTAAGCTAACCATAAAAGTACATTACAGGATTACGTTATTACATAATAATAAGTTTAGAGGTTTGGAAGTCAGATCTCTGGGTCTCATTAAAGTTCTGTCTCTCAGACATCATAAACACCAGTGGGTGAGTTACCAATAATGAACTTGCAGTGTTTTGCTATCCATGAAGAAAAGCCTTTTGTTTCCTTTCCCTTCCAAAATATAGTAGACTTTTCTACTGAGAGGAGACAAACTCCATAGATTTGTCCTAAAATTATGTGAATGTAACATGCACTGCAATTTGTCTTCAGACTCTAGATTTATGCAAGTGTATGCAAGTAGTATCTCATTAGTAAGAGGGGACCCTCTGGGGTCATTGGCAGCCACCTTCTGCATGGAAATCCCAGCATCAGCTGTTTGACTTAGGGTCCAGATCTAACTACCACTATTTGGGGGGAGAAAGGTGTAAAACATAATGATTGTTATAAACTAAATTTATGAAGCATGTGGTGAATTTTTGCATTAAAATATTAAACTCATCAGTATTGGGAAATAGGTTGTCTGAGGTGGATAGATTGGCTTGCAGCACAGAATCATTTTTTCTGAGTCAATTTTTTTCTCTCTGGCTCAATCTTAGGAAATAATCCAATTTAAGAGGGACATCTCTTTGTATTCAGGTTCAGCGTTTAAAGACCTGTTTCAGAATACAAACAGTTTTGACATACATATGATTAGAAGTAGGGGAAAAACACATGAATTGTCCTCTAAAGTAAATTACTAGTGTCTGCACTTTGCAGATGGGGAGACTGAAGCAAAAGTTCAAGGTTTAACACTTTCAAAAGTGGCTTCTAATTCTATGTCTCTCGTTGGCTACCAGTGCTAGAGACCTGGGTATATGAAAGTTTTAGATAGATGGGTAGCTTTAGATGAACGTTAGCCTCGGATCTGAGAATGCTTTTTCTCCAAATCCATGCTTAGTTCCTTGGACTTGACTGTCTTTTGTCAGAAATCATCTCGGTGAAGAATTCCGGGACTGTGCAGCACAGTAACAGGTTCATCTGCAAGCAAAGTTGGTTCACCCACAGGCAGATGAGCAGAGGTACCTTTGACAATCTTTGTAATGACTGAACTGTCCTAGGCCTCAAATTACTTTAGTCAAAATCAAAAGGGTTTGAGGTCATGAATTCAGCAAAATCTGAAGACCACATCTGGATGACTGTCATGGGCAGATAAATATTTCATAATCTTCAAGAGAACAGATGATACTTTTATTCATTGTGGTTATATGGACATTCACAAGACCACTTGTCATGAAGAAGGAAATAGGCGTTTCGTTTAAAAGATGACATGTCTTATCTCTTACCTGTGTCTCAAAAACAATTGTAGCATCATGAAAGAAGCTTTCAAAGGCACTGAATTTAAGGTCTTTGTGTTCCCATTACACCTTCAAAAGCTGGTGTTAAGTATTTACACATTTCCAAGGAGCGCAATAGGGATTGATTTGTTTTGATATGATTTTTGTAATTTGAGTTTCTTTCTCGAAAACATTTTGGAGTGAAAAGTACAGGTTTTGTTGTGACTATGTGAGGTGCATGGCAGAGCAGTAAATTAGATACATCCCACAGCTCTCATCCCAGTGATGACAGTTGCTTTGTGAACAAAATAAAATTTAAAACGGATAATTAAGCAACTCTTTTTTGCTGGGTTTTTTTTTTGTTTTGTTTTTTTTTTTTTGTTCTCCTAACTCTTTTTAAATTCTTACTGCTTCTGGAAAAACAATCCACTCCCAGCCTCTTTAGCCTGGCATTAACTTGTAAATTAATGGTGAATATTTTCAAAAGCACATTTAACTTTTGCAGTGGTAAGTCACTTTTAGAAATTAAGTGTAAGCACTGTATATCATTGATACACAGGCCAGGCTTTACTGTTCAACTATTCTGTTATTGTCATACTAATGTAATTCTTGTAGTGCATACTTTTATTTTAGTTGCTGAAATAACTTTACTGCTGGTGTACTGATGCAATCTCCTTGTAAAAAAAACTTCACATGTGCATCAGAGCACCTATCTCAGTGTGACATTAGGATCAATATGTTGGTTTGAGAAAGGAGAGAGAAGGAAAACAGTTCTCTAGATGGACATAAGCAGACAAGTGCAAAATCAGCATGTACACCAAAACTTAATCACTTTAGCGACTGGTAACTGTTACCTGGTATCCTTTGGCAGGAATGTAAAGTATTGCAAAGCTTGGTAGGGACAGGATCAAGTGAGCCTTTTTGTATTAAGAGGTTTCTATTGATCTCTCTTCTATCACCATTTTACATTATTACATATTTTTGAACTTGCTTTAAGCATTTTGTGCTTGAGGAGGGCAAAAAGAAACATACATTCAGCAATGAAGAAGCATGATCCAATAAAAAAGAAAAATCAATTGCTTAAAAAGGGGCAATCAGTTACTCCCACTCATGCTAACTCACGCCTATTTAACTTACTAAATTCCATCTCTATCTCTACCACCTTTATGCATGCAGCTCAATTATACCGCCTCATACATTCTGTTCATCCTCTTTATGTTGTACTTTGTCTTCATGTAACTATATTGTTGCCAGTAGTTGTTGCCTATCTGATATTTGACAAACATAATTTATACACTCTTCCAGGTATCTTGAAAGCCATATAATTTGAGTAGATTATGTGCTCTATACTTGCATTTTCAATGAGATCCCCTGCTGACCAGCCAGATGGACATGGGCAGAAGATTGTTATATCCTTAC